ATTTACAAATTGTAAATGAATTAATGACAATTTTCAAAGAGAAAATTCCACATAAAAACAATGAAATAAATTTTCTCGTTGAGCAACTATCAAACTTGAATTCAGAAAAACAACAATATAGGTATTCTGCAGACTTTCTAATATTTTCCACTTTACTTCACACAATTTCACCACATGCATATAATTTTATTCGAAATTCAGAAAATATTATTATGCCTCATCCACGGACCATTCAGAAAATTTTTCAGATTTTAATATATATCCAATAAATGAACAATACAACCAAAAGTTCCTAAGCTACATAAAATTTAAATTTCAAGAACTATCAGAAAAAGATCTGCTTGTTATTTTAATGATTGATGAAATTCATCTAAATCAAGCATTTGATTATAAAGGATGGTAATTTGTGTGGAATAGCATATAATTGCAAAAATGCTGCATCTAGTGCATATGTTTTCATGATTCGCAGCCTGCTATTATCTTTTATAAGGATGTTGTACATATTTTGCCAGTGAAAACAAAGCAGATAACTTGTCGTAGCCTGCAGCTTAGCTATATTAAAACACTTAGTGCGGATAATTTGTATTAGTTATATTAAAAAATTGTAGTGGGATTAGAAAATATTGGGTTTAAAATTATTGCTATTGTCACCTGACAATAATTCGAGTAATAAAAAGGCTATGTCTCTGTTTTCCGAACCACCTAAAGTTAGTATTGTTTGTCCAAACCCTGTTGACAAATCTAGGCCAATGTTTTTTTTATTATTTACACAGTGCATATTTTAAAATGCATTAGAAATAACTGGAGGTAAATCAAAAAATAATAATCCATAATCATGATTATGTTTTTTTCCCAAGTTTTGATGATGCTTCACATATTGAAACTGCATCTTTTTCTTGTATTAAAAAATTACATTGAATTCTGAAACATTAAAATTAAAAATTATTAAAGTATGCTTATGGTCTGAACAATAAAAGCTCTATATCCAACTAACTTAGAAAAACAAAGTGTAAAGCTTGCATTGCAGATTTTTAATGATAATGTTGTTGAAGCATTATTTTCTTTTGGGCAGCAGAAAGAAATAAAAAAAACTTTCCAAGAAACTGGAAAATTTATTAAAATAATATACACACCATGGTGGTCAATTGTAAATGTGAAATCTATTATTTTTAAAGGGGTTCATAAAAATAATGTATTTGAAACACCTTTCACTGTGGCAGAAAATGATGAAAAAAATTTTTTTTATGAATAAACTTTTTGAATTGGTTAGATAGTTGGAAAAATTTGAATTTAGCATCTGGTTCCCTAACTAAAGAAACTCACTTTGCAGTATACCATACAACGTATGCTTTAATTGAGATATCAAGGTATTGTATAAATGAGTTGGGTTTTTAAATACCTTTTACTTGGGAAAAATACAAACATATATGTTAGAGGCTAGATTTGGTAAGTACAGGCAACTGGCTGGAGCTCACCATAATATTTCTATCAGACAGGTTTATGAAATAGAGGGTAAATTAAGACTTCAGAGTACATTACCAACCCTAATAAATTCTTCAAAATTTGGAAAATATTCCTCTTCATGTATCTGATTTTAAAGACTGAAGAACAAACTTTTGATGACACTGATTATGTATAAACATTCATAGATGAAATAACAGTTGAAGATAGTGATATATATACACGACATAAAATTGGATGTACCTATTTTGACTTATATAGCTGGATATTGCTGTTATAGTATGCTAAAAAAGTTAAAATGTGATGTATGTAAATCCAATATTACTATTGATAAGGAGTTAGCTTTAGAAAACGATGAAAATATTCATTCATGGATTAAGGTTTTTGATAGAGGTCTTATGTATCCTCATCCTGATATTTTACATTCTGTTATATACAATTTTATTGTTGTTAAGAAACTTATTTCAGATGAATATGAGCAAAAATTTTTATTTTCGGCAAATCCACGAGTTACAGTGTGTAAAATTACTCTAAATTTACTTCATGAAAATTTTTTTTTTAGAGTTGAATGACTGTCCTAAACTTCATGACCCTCAAATTATTTTGAAAAACATCATACAAGCATCAACGAATATTTTTCTAAATAATTACTGCAAAAGTTGAATGATAATCTTTTAAAGTAACAATTTAAATAAGCAACGGAAATTGAAAACATTAAAAAAATAATTTATGCATACAGCAGAAATGACATATACTATGTTTATAAGTTAGTAAACTTTATAAAATAAGATAGTGACACTAATCTATTGTTTCTTATTATCTTCAGACTTAAATTTGTAATTCATTTTATCTAAATGAATATTTTTTGCAGAATGTAGATAGTATGTTAAATAAAAAAATAGTGCTTTTTCTATTTGTGTTGTGAAATCTTTACCAACTCTTTCAAAATGCATGCACACACACACAAAAAAGCATTTTGTAATAGTTAACTAATTATGACAGTAAAGTGCTAAAGTTGTTAAGTCTCTTATATAATATCATTTTGTGCAAAAATAGGTTGTATTTATTGTAAACTAGAGAAATATTGATTTTTGAAGATAAAATACTTTGCCAATTAATATTACTATTGTTTAGATATTGAAATCAGTATCTTGCAATTTTTTAATATTATTTTAATTGAAGCAGACATGTTTATTACATTAATTTTACACTGTAAGAAGAAAATAAAAATAAATACAATTTGTTTTTTACCTACAATTCCATATGAGTCATTTTTATAGATATTCATGCATTTTTATGGAGGAAATTCACTGTATTCTTATACAATATTTTCATTGTAATACATGCTAAATTCTGTCAAAACTAAAATTAAATACTTTGGAATTAAAATTTCTAATGATGTGTGGTTGTACATATACAGGGGAAAAACTTATCAAAAATAAATTGAGTAAAAAAATATTTTTTAATCCTTCCCAGCTGTAAGGCTTCATGCAGTTATTACTAAACTATTTTGATATTAAAAAGACTTAACTGTAATAAAAAATAAGTAGCATCAAGTTACATAAATAAATAGTCATCCCACCCTTTTTCCCACTGTAGTATGCAATGCCATTTCCTATTACTTCCAGTTATAAATTTACTGGTACAAAAATTCAGGCCAAAAAAAATAAATAAATATAAAATCCTTTTTATATGTTTTGCATCCTAATTGTGTTGCTTTCCTTTAATAAAAAATCTGAATTATTTTGAAAATTTTAAATCTTACTTTACATCTTAACAATCAGGCTATATTTATTTTCATTTCTAATAGGAAAATACATAAAACTTGTTATTCTTTCAATTCTAAGAATTGAGGACATTTGATCTATTTAGATGTTTTTTAAAAGTTTCCTACTGATTACCCTGATAAAAATTCCAGTAAATACATATATAAACTTCATATTTATCATTTGCTAAAAAATTCTCAAATAAGTTACAATGAAATGCTTTCAGGAACAAAAAAATTTACAAGTTACAAAAAAAAAAATTATATGCACATAATTAGACAAAAGGGGTGTTACAAACATTTAACAATAAGAATGAAACATAAGAATTTTGAATTCCTAGCAAGTGTCAAGTTTGTTGAATTTTTACAATTTTTCTATTTTTTATTATTGGGGAAGATGCAGTTATGTATTCTCAAATAATGATCTAATTTAAAATGCCTAAATATATGAAATGTTTTGCTACCGTATTTTAAAACTACCCAATGAATAAATATTGATAGGTGCTAAAAAAAATAGTATTTTTTCAAATCATTCTCCAGGTTTCTCATCTGTTAAGAAATTCAGTCCCACACTGAAGTGAAAAAAAAGCGGAAAATGACTAAACAATTATGTGTAAATTTGTATTTATGAGAAAAAGAAAATGCCGTTAAAAATTGATTAAAATTAATTTTAAGGATTTTTAGTGTTAATCAATTGTAAACTTGCTTAATTATGCGTTATCCTCTTTGTTAAGGAAGAAAATATTTAATAAAATATATATTCTTCAGAAAGCAAACCAGCATCAGCCAGATATTCAGTATATATTTATTACTACTAATCTGAAGTATGTTGAATTAATTTCTTTACTATACTGTTATTATTTTAAGCATAAAAATATATAAGGAAAGTAAGGTTAGGTATTTGAAATTAGAAAATGCGGCGGTCGATGAAATCAAATCGGAATATATATATTGCCACCAACACACACACATATATATATATTTAAAACCAAACGATATAGTAAGCCTTATGCAAGGAAATAAAAACTACTTTTCATTTTCTCTCCTCTTAAAAGAATAACAGCGATAAGTGGTTTCATGTGGCAACCATGCTTTCTGTACATAAGGACGACTTTAGTGACGTAGTGTGCGGCGTGCCGTGGCTTCGTTTATAGGAGGTACTGCCTCTTTCCACCCCTGCCTTTTCTGCAATTTTTTTCAAAGGCGGACACGACTCCACCTGCCTCGCAATAACGAACTCTGACGTATTTCCCCTTCAGCATGAATGGATTTTTCTTGGCATTCTGCCAAATACAGATCCCATCAGTTAGAGTACAAGTACTTGTTGGATAGATTTTAATTAGGGAGCGGAAAATTTTTGAAAATGTCTCTAAACGGCACAGAAGCTATACATTTCTTACCTTTAATTTATTTTTGAGTTATGGTTTCATTTCATGCATTTTTCTTAACTGGTATGTCATATATCAGGACTTAGGTTGAGTTTTTGCATTTATACGGCCCACGACGATGTCACGCGCAATTTAATCTTTTGCGGCGTTTACGCTGATGCGGCGTTTCTGTGTAATTTTAATTTTTTTCCCGCCATTTTTCTCGAGTGCGGCGTTTACGCTGATGCGGCCTTTCTTCCGGAAAGTACGGTAAGTAAAATTCCAAATAATTTTCTGTATTAAATTATGAAAGAATCTTCTCTTCCTTTTTAATCTATAATTAGAATTTCTTAATATTTATATTTTCTTAAAGTTAGATAATCAATTTCTTTTTAATTTTCTGCTAGAAACTGGGTGAAAGGTGCAGGACGAAGCAGGAAGTAGACATAAAACACTCTACTTTGTATATCCTGATGTATTCTGAGCTGAGGAAAATATTTATCACACTCAGCATCATGTGGTAAGAAAATTTATAATTTCTCTTATTTGATCTCCACTCCAAGTAACTTAAAATATGTAATATGAAACTTCAGATGACTGAAATTTAGAATGCATAAGTGAAGAGTGATTAGTAGTTCATCAGTGAAAAGGAAAGTTCTTGAATTTTCTTTTCACGTTATAAATCCCTAATGTGGTTTCTCGTTGGTAACCGAGCAAAACTAGGCAATATTCCACTTCATTAAATCCTCACTCAAATTCATCACATCTCCACGGGTTTTATCTTTGAATCCAAGCAGTGAAAATTTATACCCTTAAAAATTCAGTATTTTGGCTCACAATAAAGTTTAAAGAAAAGAACTCAATCGACAAATAAGATAGAAAATTTTTGTTTAGTTGTTAACTTGATGGACTTCAGAGACAATAACTGAAGACACGTGACACATTATTCCTTTATTGGTACAATATAATGAGGGACAACTTTACACGCCCTGTGACACGCATCTTAGCTACTTTCTGAACATTAACAAAAATTTATAATAGTTAAAGTGTTTCAGTACCAATATCGACCAGAATTCGCAACAACGTTTTTCTTATTCAACATTTTCCATGCTTTAATTAAGAAGTGAAAATTTGCATTCTTTCCGTTGCCGAATCGGTGACAAAGAATATATTGATGTGCGCATACAACATGGTTTGAATGCACAATCATTATTATGGTTGCAGATTTCTGCATAAAATAAATATAACGTGAAAGCAAATGTGTTCAGTTCTTTACTAGCTTGATGTGCTACCAATCATCATCTATTGATTGAACGGTCAAAAATATAATCATTCGACTTTGGCTAATCGTATTGAATTTGTTTTTTTTTTATTGCTACTTAAATGTAATAATGTACACGTAATTTCAGGGCAACAGTGTATCTAGCATACTATGGTCTTCAATTGAACATATATAACTTAATGGGAAACGAATTCGTTAACTTTTCCATTCTCTCACTGGCAGAAATACCTGGATGTATTATATGTTGGTACATGCTAGAACGCTTTGGAAGAAGGTTTACTTTAGCTACTAACTTCATTTTCATAGGACTGGCATGCCTTTTGCCTTTAGCAGGTAGGTGAATTAAAGTATTAATCACTATATCGGTTAATAAATTTTAGAATTAGTAACAGAGATTGAGGAACTTTTTCCATATTTGCATGACTTTATATTACGAAATATTGTTTAGAGATTCTCTAATGCGGTCGATATCAATGTATAATATAAAAATTTTATCATAGCAAATTAGGCACCAAAAGGTAATGAACGAATCGCAACGAAACTTGGCATGAAGCTAATATTCGCAAATGATTAGAAGTACAGCTAGTTTGCGCACTGCGTATTGCCGCCAGATGGCGTTGAAAGTTTTGCCCCCCCCCGCGCGCATAAAACAAATGCGCAAATGCATGTTGTTGTAGTTACTCTGCTGCAGAGGGACACCTTTTTCTTTTCACCTGGATGACTTTACATAGCATTGCAATAAAATATGATCAGCTATGAGAGTTAAACAGGGGAAATATAGACGAGATGGGCAGCCAAGGATCAGCTTGCTAAGCAGCCAGTCACTTAAACTAGTCTTTCTACACTGTGAAGAGGTATCGATATCAATGGAAGAGAGATCGGTCGCAGGCAAGCCGGCCTGCTCAAGGCGCCTTTGGTGGGCATTACATATTGCACTGTCTCTCATGTGTGCTGCAATGGCCTTAGTATGAAATCCACTGTCCATCCATCCACTGTAACTTTAGTATGAAAAAGCTAATCGCTCGACGAGGCTGGGTGGTAGACGAATGTGGTAGACTAAATCGACTTCAGAGACAAATCGACATTCACAGCAGCAGTTATAATAACCGCGTACGTGTTTGGAGACTCAATCATAAACTCCCCAATCATCCCTTTGCTTTATAGCGTCACCCCGCTCTCTTAATTAGTGTGATGGAATAAGGAGCCTTCGCATACGATATCCGTTCACATCTAATATTAATCCAGACACCCTGACAGTCCTTGCCACACTAACAAGGGTGTTACAGCAGTGCTTCAGTCACATTACACCTAGAACCTCCTCCTCCGCAATTATGCTTTTAGTATTAAACACGTCACAAAATCGTATGTATCTAATTTTCAGAGGCAACTTTAAGTCACTCGTTAGAAGATTTGTGTAGCTATTTCGTAACTGTTAGGCTCATAGTCAAGGACGAAGAAAAAAGACTTAACTAACAGATAGAATTGCTAATTACTATGTCGGGCATAAGAAGGAAGGTTTTTTGTCATTGTAACAAGTGTGTAGTCAGAACGTTTAGTTTTCTTAGCGCTATGTAACTTATTTACTATCGCTATTTTTGTGTACTTCTAATTTTTAATGTTGTTGAGTAGAGGCACTATAATTTTGGCATTTTCAATTGTTATGGAGTGATTATCAAGAATTTCTTATGTACACGAAGTATTTGAATTATTCACAGTGTATTTGAAATGGTCATCAAGTAATCGAAAAGTTCATCATTTATGTTTATCACTTTTTTCATATTTTCATCTCTATACTCATTGGGCAACTGCGGTTTTCACCCAGTATTTGAAATAGTCAACTTGCACTCAGTAACTTACCATATACATCATATTTTATATATTTATATATATATATATGCATTTGTGTTTGATACATTCACCATTTAATTGCAATCATGCTGTGCTTGGTATGTCCATCAGTTATTTCAAATCTTCGCTACGTACTTGATATGGTCTTCGTGTAATGATTTAAGGGTTTAATCAACTTTCGGCAACAATGGCTAGGTCTAGGCGCTTGAGGATGCCCTTGATTTCTCCCAAGTTTTACAGGGATTCGACCATGGCCACGCGTATAATTGCAGAGTTTGAATGTTGTCTCTCGTGTCTCCCTTGAGTGTTCTTTCAAGATCGATGGCATAAAGAGGTTATATCTGCGTGTTTAATTGTGGAAACCTAGTACCTCGCATGCTTCTTCCTGCCCTGTTACTAATTTCAGGCTATATATAAGATATTATAATGCTAAAAGATTGTCTTCAATTCTCTGTTGTCAATACCACGGTCGCAATGCTGGACATTGTCCTGAAGGAAAGCCACTGTTTCTCTACTTTACATCTCTAGCTATAGAATTAATTGATTTTGTAGTATTTATCGCAAATATATTTAGAAAGTTTTAAAGATATACATGCATATTCAAAAATAAACCTTATCTTATTTTCCGTGATTAACAGGTGCCACCGTTATTAACAGTGGCAGTCTTGATATGATTCAATCAGTTTTCTTACGTTCTCTTTGAAGATATTCAGCCAAAGAATGCAGATTTATCAACATCAGTTGCTTTTTTATAATCAGACTCTTTAAATTTAAACAAAAAGAAAGTTTTCATAAATATTCCTGAGCAACAGTATCATTCCATAAATTTTCTTAATCTTGCTGTTTCGAGGTTTTCCAACGTGAAGCATATAGTGATGCTCTTACCATCACATAATTTAAAATTTTATACACGCAGAATTCCATAATATTTCTCTTGAGGCTTATTTTCCTTGCATATATTAAACATAAGATTCTTTCGCTTCTCCTATTACTTTTCCATCCCTTTCAAAGATAAATTTTGATGGAACTCATTTAACATCTTCATCATATTTGTAACGCACAAAGATGAATCTAGATTGTCTGATGTACTCAAATATTAATTATGTTATTTCAGTAAGTAACAATAACAATAATTTATATAAATGGTATTACTAAAAATCTCATTTTATTTTTCAGAATATCCATACATCGATGTGGCGAGTTCTATTTTAGGCAAAATGTTTGCATCAGGAATTTATGCAACCGCTTATCAGTACAGCTCTGAACTATTTCCTACAGTTATCAGATCTTCTGGTATGGGTATGAGTAACACCGTAGGCCTATTAGCCACCCTATATGCTCCATATATTGTATATCTGGTAAGTCTTAAATTTGCGTGCTACGAAAAATATCTTAGCTGAATGTTCAAACTAATGTCCTCACTCACAGAGTTATTAACTTGTTGGCTAATTAACATCCTTAACAACACATTAAATGTCAATAGAATGCAGCATGGGCACATAATTTTATTTTTATTGTCCACTGGACATTTGATGCTTCTCAGCCTGGATAGTTTAGTCAACAGACTTAGTAAACTACATTTTTAGGGAAGCAACCACTTCTTCGCATACACTTATAACTTATTTGTAAGCAGAACTATGGTAGGTACGCGTAATGTTATTATATCGTTGAGCATGCTCATGAATAACTGCTACTAAGCTTTCAAGCAATTGCTTTTGCCTTTCTGTGCGCCGTCTGAACCTGTGACAGGATCCTTCCTGTTTTCCTTCAGTTTCTTAACAAACAGACCAGAGTACATAGCTGTTGTTTGTGGAAAAATATGAAGAAGCACATCACTTTGTGGTAACAACTTGACGTTGTTCAAACGGAATCATACATTGGTTTGGTTCTCACGGGCATGTTAAATATAAAAATGGCATCTTGCTTTATACCCTTTCCCTACCCCCTGGGATGTATACACTGACGTGGTATTTTACTATGGCAGTAGCATTCTGGGGAAATAATAATTACGAGCATGGCGGCTCCAGAACCCGAGGGAAAATCGTTTATAAGTTCGGACCGACGGGGACAGGCAAAGACCTACAACCGAGAACACTAGTCACTCGACTGGTCCGAGTGTTACAGGTAATATCCTCCGGTAACGGGCAGTCCACGTAGAACCGGTGGGGCCATTACTGATGACCAGTCAGACTGCCCGGTTAATAACGGCGTCCATCATGGAGGTAGGACGTTATTCTTACCTCCACCGGGGTGGTTTTTGAGACTCGGGTTTGCCGAGTGCCCGTTGCCCAGTGATTAAAAGAGAGTTCTTATAAAAAAAAAGATTAGATTTGTCACTAGATTGAAGCCCCTGCTTCATAGCGAGCTGAGTTTGTTTTACTATCTCTTAACTCTTTCGCATCGAGAGAGGGCAAAATCTCAATTCCCCAAACATCGAAAACGCCCATATCTAAGAATTTCTCCTGGAATGCTTTTCCTTCTCCCATGACAAGTTGACTACAGCGCTAACAATAGCCTTACTTAAGTAAAGCGAGAACTTCTTTCTTCGACGCTTTGACACTGTGTGAAGTTCCCCCTTGGGACGGGATTGCAACTTCGGGCATCAAAAGCTAAACACTGACAGTAAACAAATTAAAAGAAGGAACAAAGGAAACAAGGAAGCTACTTTTAGTAGCTTCAAAAGAATGATTGACATGTGATTTAACAACACCTGAAAGCAATGAGTAATGCAGTAACGTAATGGGGCCCCAGAATGCCCCAGAATTTTCCACTGGGTAGGAAATTATTCAGGCGTTTCGGGCGTTCAGCCGATGTCTGAATGTTTGGGCGTTTGGGACGACTTCGATGCGAAAGAGTTAAGAGAAACGTGTTTGGTAATGTCCGCCCCTCTCGCCTAATGCGGAGGATGATCACTGGTTGTCGCCCTAGCTGCATTCCGTTCGCAGGAAGGGACGCAAAACTTAATTGATTGGTACCCATCCTGTACAACAACAGCTCATCATATTATATATCTACCATATTCGTGTTGCACTGAAGACGATCTTCTGACCGGCCCTTTGATCCGTTTCTCTGTTGCTTCTTCTATAACTTTAATTTTTGGTATTCTCATTAACTCTTTCACACCAAAATAGTTAGCTGACTGTGGTAAGAATCTATTCGTTAATTAAGAAAATAGCTTAAGCTTAAAGTGAATGCAATTTAAGTCGTTTGTTTTTCATTGTAATTAATGTAGTCATTGCTGAAATGTCGTCGTAATCTGTCTTATTACAGCCCTTTGCTTCTTACTTTTTTGTTTACTCTTTCTTTTCTTTATTTTATATTTTGTATTCTTTAATGGTTTTTACTCATTTCTGGTGTGTTGATAGTTTTTTCAACACTTACTCGTTTTCATGCCCATTATTCACGAGCAGCAGTTATACGATTCTAAACTGCTAAAATAAATTTCAAGTATTCTATGGCTGTGGTTTCAAACTGGCGACCTACAAACTGCAAGCGGATTCCAAAACAGTTTTAAGTAAACCCAGGACTTAGAAGAGAAGGGCTAGCTCATAGAGCTTTTCCCCCTGAAGCAGAAAGTGAGAAGTGATGACGTAGCCATGATGACGCTGAGCGCGCCAATATAATTCACAGCTTGGAAATTAGCGTTTTTGAACCAGCGTTTAAAATGAGCTGTGTGTGAAAGATAGCTATAATTTGTAAAAGGCAATGTTACTGCTTTATGAATTTTAGACTGAACCATTAAAAATTTAATAATGCTTACTCAATTTTAAAATAATAGATAAAATGTGCTACTCTTTTAACATAAAGTTCCGTGGTTTTTTTTATTTTTATTTGCAGGTTTTTTTTTTTTTATTTAATGCACGTTTATTTCTAATCATTTCTTTATTTGCATACTAACTGAGAAAATTTTTATGCTGCTTCTAAGATAACTATAATAGCAGCTATTTAAATTTACTCAAAAAACAACTTTACATCGACATAGGTTTAAACATATATGACATATATGGCAACATTTCTGCTAACCTACGTTTGATTTTTTGCCTATTGTAAATTTTACATTGTTATAATCTCTTCTCTTCCGATTCAATATAATAGATATTTTTTAAATAATTTTGTAATTTATACTTATATCTATATTACAAGTAAATAAATGTATATAAGATTGTTACCTTAATTTTGACAAAATAGCTTTATTCAGAGTACCTAAAACAGTTATTTAATTTTTCAAAAGTGTGAGTAAAGGAAGCAGGTCTTTTTATGCCAATTACTTTGATGTTTTATACTATTATATTTTATCTAGAATTCTAATCTAGCACAAAATCTAATTAATAATTAGTTACAAAGGATACAATAAGAATAACTTTAACAAGTACTTTACAAAATTAGTTTGTTAAATACTTGTCATTCTTGTTGGTACTATTTTGGTACTATTCATAATACCGAAGAGGCCCACCAGCGGCCGAGCGGTAAAGTCGCTGAACACTGGTAGTTCGGTCTGAGGTTCGAATCCCGCGAACGGGCTGGCTGCATGGGTGTTTTCGTGGTTTTCCCTATGTGTAACGTGTATACGAGCCAGTTTTCCTTAGAAAGTCCTCCACGAAGGCATCCCTCCCCTTAGGCAGATAGCCCTAGTGTGCTTTGCCATAATTAAATACACACATACACATAATACCGAAGATATTATCGATTAACTCATAGAAGTCAGATGCTTTCTGATTTCCTGTGGGGTAGAGTATACCTTTTTGCGGTACTTTTTGAAAATAATGTTTTCTCTGGAGCGACTTTTTGTCTCTCGTTTCCCTTGACCATTAAATAATTTGGTTGGTTTTAGTTTGTGACACAATTTGATTTCTTCTCAATCTCTATTTAAAACCTCTTTAATAATATCAAAATTTAAAACAGTTACATCTTCTAAAACAAATCCTCTATCTAAACGTGGTTTCTCAGTAATTTGAGGCAGAGCGCGAAATGAGACTCTGATTCAAACAAACTGCACATTTTGAAAAGAACCAACTTAGTCCAGTTTAGAGTCATAGCAGAGTTTTCAATCTATATGCATTTCGTCGAAACTGAGAACGCATATTTTTTCTACAGAATACAAATATTCGCCTCTTTCCTTCTTTAGAGTCAGAACATTACTTTGAATTCTTGGACTACACTAAAATTTAGAAAACACTAAAAAATAAAATAAACACCATTTCTTTAATTTGATAATACTAGGTAAAGATATTCCAATTTTTTTTCTTTCCAAAAATCAGCTTTAAGATGACAGAGCTCTTATGACGATGCTACGTGAAATATTTTCACTAGTCTACCTGATTTTTTTCTTCTTTTTCAGTAATTTTTTCAGTAATGCATTAATCTGCGTCTTTATAAAAATAGGCTTTAGACATTTTTCCAAATTCTCCGATTTGTGCTCCCCCCCCCCCCCCCCAAATTTCGCTATTTGAGATTTTAATTTCTGATACCAATTTCTGTCTAGATGTCGTCCACCTTCTTTGTCGCTGAACAAACATTCTAAAATTGTTCTTTTCTCTATTTTTCAATACTTTAATACAATTTAATACAATTTTCTAAGGATATTATTTTGTTCTTCAAATTATCAATGCATTCTTGTTTATCCTTAACATTCAGGATGATCTACATTTTCATTTGTGAGTTTTATTTCAAAATCATTAAAATTTGATTCATTATTGTCATCATCAATTTCGATTTATTATTGTCATCATAATTTACTTTCGGCACAGCATTCCATTCCAACAGTTTCTTTTTGTGGCTATCCAAACAAGCGATTTTTCATATCATCTTCATAAACACTGCATAGAAAATGTTCGCTGCAAATTTTTCCGCTCTTCACATTAATAGAATCTTCTCTTTGACATTTGTGTATCCATACTTTCTTCAAAAGCAAACTCTCATTTGGATCCTTTGGTCCCATGAAATAAAATATCTCATCCTTTCATACTTCTGTAAGTGCTACGGCAGCGCAAAAAGCCATATTACGTAAACGATACTTTACAATATAGAATTTAAAATAAAAAAAACTGACTAAAATTACATTATATAAATTATTTTAAATATATACATTATTAGAAAACAAATATATATATTATTAAAATTAATTTGGGATATGTAACCTCTAGAAAATCGTCTCGCAGCTCAATGAAAATACTGTTTTAAACGCGGGAAATCAGGACAGGTGGCATCACAGTGACGTCAGATTATTGCCTGTTACGTCCCCCCACTAGGCTCGCGTCAGCGAGGAGTCGAACAAAGAAATGAGCTAGCCCTTCTATTTATCCCTGAGTAAACCACTAATACATTTATCGTAAATTAATTAGCACTATTATATGATTAACTATTATGAAAATAATTTGAAGAGTAGTTTAAGACTTTTAATGATTTGGAGTCGAGTTTTACATTATTTTCAATCCCATAAAAAAGAACGTAAGTAACGCCCTGCAAAATATATAAATAAACCTAATTGATTTACACTGTGATATTAAACATGCGGAAAAATTTGAAAATTCGTATTACACTCAGTTGTTATTACACTCATACGTACACTCAGTTGCGATTTTAGTAATAAGAATAATCGCTCTGTTTGAGACTGATTTATATGTGAGTACTTTCTTCAACTAGTTGAAAGTTAGTTAGAAAAGAACCAGGTTGGGCAATGAGCCTCTCTGGAATTTTTGATGAAGGTACTTTTTAATAACCTTTCTTCAAGGTTACGAAACTTCTGAAAATCGGAACTCCATTATGTGTAGCTGAAAGTTGTAATAGGAAGTAAAAAAATAATTTATATTTTTTTACGTACAAATATATGAAGTCAAACAAAATTTAGTTAATGAAAGACAGAGAATAGTTTGTCATTACTTTTTATCGAGTTTTATCTTAAATGGAAAGTAATCGTACTTTGCTTCTTAGTTTTTTTAGTGATTATTTCAACATACTGAAGATACTTGATTTAAACCTCTTTCTAAATATTTATACCTTGACAAGCAGCACGTCGCATCAATGCTAGAACGTCGGTTTACACGGATTCTCCATGTTCGCTACATTAAGCAAAGCTCGTTTCCAACATGCCAGTCCCGTGTACCATACAGCCGCAGTAAAATAGCTGATACCATAAACTCTACCTACCGATTGAGGCAGAAACCCTGTTTTTACAGCAGTATATCTAGTCACCATCTGCAGAGCATACTGCAAAACGTCAACGGCAGCGCTTCAGGACCTAGTAGGATCACAATTTGTCTATCACTGCACACCACCAGCGTAGACAGAACATGTGATCTCTGGGGCCAGACATATGTAAATTCCCAACTATGTAAAATTCAAAGTTGTATACCTGAATACGATAACCTGAAGCACGATGTGTATATGAGTATCTCGCAATGCACTGGTATAGCGGAAGCCAACTGCATAGACCATTTCCCGACATCATACCTTAAGCGGACCACTCCAGGAGCAACTACTGGAAAAGTTGAAGCAGAAATACAAAAAGAACAAAACTACTCTGGAAAGAGAAAGAAGAAGAATACTCTGCATGGTTCGCACAGAATTCTTGTTCTTTCCATAAATGGCAAAAGAGCTAAGAAATAGTTCGTCTTCACTGACACAATACTTCTATGTACACGTTTTATTCTCAGCATGCTTGCATCGCTTCCGCCTCAGAGAAAGGTATCTTAATGCTTGCGGTAGGGAAAGAGCAGCAGACTATTACGTATTTGACTACCTATAAACATTACGATACCATATTAGAAGAGACATCTTATACAGACTGGTTATATTGGACTGCTAATACTATTAGTAATACATCCGCTCGAAATAAAATTGACTCAGTCATTTAATACAGTGTTACTGCTTACTGAGTCATGTCACGTCGATGAAGCTTTCTGAAAACGCTTCTATAATATGAATTTTTCCATAGCAATAGTACAGCGGCACACTCCATATTCCGTGCTGGTTTTATGTAAATTTTCAATTTGATTATTTTTTTATCAACCTACAAAGCATTTCTACATAAACTTACGCAATAGCAACTGTTTATCAATATTCATGTAACGCTGTTACAGTTTGTCTTTTCCCGATTGCACAAGGTGATGCGTGTAATTAAGTCTTCTGTAAATGTATGTTTGCTGCCATTATTAACCTGTTTTCATGACATCAGTTCGACAGAACTCATACGATTCTCATAGCTGTCATATATTACGAGGAGTTACTATATAGATTACATATGGCTAACTACCCGGACGAAGACCAACTAGAGCGGCATCCAATTTGAAAATTCAATAGTTAGCTGTCAGTACGTTGGAATGTGTAACGTAGAGAAATTTCTTGCAGATGCCATTGTTTAGATTTCAGAAAGAAAATATAAAATTGAAATATTTCTTCGTTTGCTTATTATTACGGTTTATGTACACTGCTTTGATAAATATTTAGTAAATGGAATTAAAATTTTAGTTAAGAAAAGTTTGTTAAAAATGTTTCTCTCCTCGGCTACTTTCAGATCGTGCATTCGGCCCCCAATGCAATATGAGTTTGAGATCACTTCTCTACGGTATTGCTTCTCTAAAATTAAAACTTGACTTTTTTTATTCATATGCAATGTGTCATTGAAGAGTAATTTCCTGTTTAAGATATTTATACATTATGTTAATTTTATTAGTCATGTGTGTCATGCGCATACTCGGTAAGGGGATGCTACCGACCAAGCCTGCCGGAAGAACAGTTACGCCAACGACTTATAGCTGAAAGGAGAGAGGAGAAAATCTGGCAACGAGAAGAAGAAGCGTGTTTGATGCGAGAAGGACGGCATGATCGTGGGAAAACATTTGAAATGAGTTTTTCTGTATTCCAAGAGTTGAGGTTTTTTTTTTTTTTTTTTTTTTTTGTTTTGTTTTGTTTTGTTTGGTTTTTGTTTTGTTAAGAACTTAAAGATGCAATGTATTACTTGTGCGTTTGATGGAATGGTGAATAAAAACAATACTTTGTGAAAAGATAATGTGTATTTACAAAATTAAAATATAGCTCATGTTATTGTTAAACCTGCATAAGTGTCGCAGTTTATTTCCTGCAAATAGAGTTGACTAATAACATTCATAAGTGGATGGAAACGAACCGACAAAGATGAATTGGTCCGGGATCGAGTTTGACAATATGCATTCTTGTATAAGGTACATAAATAGGTATACAAATGAGTTTCTTACTAACAAGTATAAGTTACTTCTTAACAATACGTTTCTTTACTCTAATAGGCGTAGTAATAAAGTTTCTTACTAATTATAACTTTCATTTCTAACTTCGATTATTCCATTATCTGTATCTGATGGACTGATGTGGAAAACCAAATAGTTATTCAAATTTTATGCATTTATTTTCAGAGTTCATTCAACAAAAATATTCTTTATATAACTATTGCACATTGCTCCTTCTTCAGTTGTGTTCTGATATTACTCCTGCCAGAGACACTCAACAAAAACTTGCCACAAACAATATCTGACGCAGAAGAATTTGGCAAAGATAGAAAGTTCTTTTCCTTCAATAGGTAAGTATACTTAATATTAATCCATAGCAAAATACATATAATTTAATATGGGAAATTTACATTAACTCGGAAATATTTCGTGATAGATATTCTGTGTATACGAATGTCTGCATATAACTTTAAGTCTGTAATTATTACAGTAAACCTCTGCCGAACGCGGGGGTTACGTCTTTAACGCATTGCGAATACAGCAAAATATTTAGACTATATAAACTTTTATAGTAAATAAACTTTCTATAGAACAAAATGGGTTAGGTATAGTTCAGAATAAAAAGGTTGGTATAATTTATACAAACCTAAATATTATTATAATTAAAAGGGAAGAAATGAAACAAATGTTAAATGAAAGTATTTATGCTACTGCTTAACTTGTATATGACGCAGTTATTTTTTTAAAGCTAGTTGATTTTTTTTTTTTTGGGGGGGGGGGACAGGGGGGGGGGGACATCTGATGAAACTCATTAGAAGTTTCGCGTTAAAGAGTGCAAAGTGTTTCGATAACTGTCATAGAATATCCTCTTTATTCTTGTTCGGGTCACGATACCAAAGGGCCCTGGCTCAAATCCCGGAGAAGGCATGGCTGTAATTGCTCGTCCATCATACATACGAGGTAACGATGGTCCAAAAAAAAAAAAACAAAAAAAAAGAAAACAAAAAAAAAAAAAAAAAAAAAAAAAAAAAAAAAAAAAAAAAAAAAAAAAAAAAAAAAAAAAAAAAAACAAAAAAAAAAAAAAAAACCCACAGCTTCTGGCCATCGTAGCGTCCAAGCCTAAGTTCTCGCCAGTAGAAATGTAATGTCTGTAAAGCAGATTCCTTCCTTTCAATAACATGCTGCAATTATTTATTTTTTGCATTTTAGAAAGGTATTGATAATTTTATCTATCTTTGCGTGTGTGTTAAAGTGTCATTGATAAAGGTCAAACTTCCTGCTTAATTCATTTCATGTTTTATTTGAGTAAATGTTTTATTTGAGTTTTATTGAGTCATGTTTTATTTTATGTAAAGATTATTTTAGAGATCGATGTAATGTAATCTAAATAATATGGCTGATGCGAGTGATGTTTCCATTTTAGTAGATATATTTAAAGATTTACAAGCACAAATTTAACTGTAATTCATTCTATGTGTTTATTTATTCGTTCTTTCATTGCAGAGAAAATCCCTCGGAGGCAAATTCGAATTTGCAGCCTTATTGCGTATCTACTGTGGAAAGCGAACTTTCTGAGACCGCTTTTACGTCTTTTAAAAAGGATATAAACGTAAAGGCTGAGAAGACAATAGCAAAATCTATTGATCGAGACTATGAAAATAAAGGAAGATATTAGGACTCATGACACATTGCAGTGATATGTTGTAAACTGCTTTTTATAAGTAACGTAGAATGCAACTTTCAATTTAAAAATTTTAGCTAATCATTATAATCACTAACCAATTTATAAAATGTTAATATGTTGATTTACTTAAATATATTGATTTATTTTTCAGTTATCCTGTGATGTGTATCTAAACATTTTGTGGTAATTTTCCCTATTTTGCATGCATGTTTAAACAATAAACAGAAAAATAATAAAAACTGATTTTTGATATTTGCCTACGTTTCATGTCCAATTCAGCTGTAAATAAAAAGCCTCAAATGCTTAAGTATACACAGCGACTTCTGAACTAAACTAAACTGACCCTCTCTACTGTCTTATATCGTCCGCCGAGAAACTTTCAGTGCCTTCCATTTCTGACAGTCAAAGTAAACACGTCTTGTTTTGCACCCGCTAAGTCGTTTTGCCCACAGGGCGAAAATTCAAGCTTAGGGGCATACACAATTCTACTTATAGGAATCAGACCATTTACACTTAGAGAGGGATCGGACCAAAGTTGCCAAATGGGTCGCTATCTTTTTGTATGTATCTTTCTGTCGAAAAACTATTTGGCACATGTTGTCTTGTAACGAAAAGAATTTCAGAATTTCCCTGTTGATGAAATGCACAATTCTCTGATAGATTGAAACAAATATAATGTAATACACAATAGGAGAATTGTAGATTTCATATAAAAAGGACAATTAATTTAAAATTTAAAACAGATAGAAAGTCCGAATGATTAATATAATGTTGAAGTTAAACTCTGTTACTCAAATTAGTAAAAGATTTGAAACAAATAATGCATACTTAAGAAACTAACTATATCATCATCCCCAATATAACGTTACTTTAAAATTTAAATTATGTGATAAACAGTTTCAAATTTAAAAAAGCTGAAAAATTTATCAATTTTATTGCTCCCTAAAAATTATTAATTTTAATTCAAATCAGAATCGGTTTGTAGACATAAATATTTTTATTCACAAATGAAAAAAATACTAGAAAATTCACAGAAATATATTACCACATAAAAACTTTGTAAATTGAAGTTATGGTTTAATTGTGCAAAATTATTTTTAGTGAAAATTTTATTACTTGAATCAGGATTTCAATTTAATTGAGATATGCGAATAGATAGATTGTTACCAATATATTCTGCTCGGTGTGTTCAACGTTTCTCATGAAAGCTATATTAAAACTATTTCCTCTTCCACTCGCCTATCACTAAAATATGCTTCAGATGTAATATTGTTCCTAAATTCCTCTGAAACATTTATTTAAATTACGAAAATATGAAATAACCTGCAAACTAGTGAATACCATACTTCATTAATGTTCTATATTTTGACAGATATAAAACTTGGGGCACTGACAGATGATGACTTGATGAGACATTTAGAATTTTATGGATTCTCAACATGAAGACGAATGTTAAGTACGAAAACCCTCCATTTGATTTCATTAAAATTGCTACTCGAACTAATCTTTGAGATCTGAAGGCACTTATTCGCGGCTTGTCATTTGGTTTTGCTATTGCATGAAAAAGGCCGTAGCTTTACTTCTCAATAGAGTTGAAAACTGTGTATTTTCTGCTACAGCAATAATTTATTGATTGATGTAAAAAGCATTTTCCATCATTTTGTGGAAAAATATTTTAATTTATAATTTTTAAGTTTTAAAAACAGTTTCTAAACCTGTAATTTCAAATGGAATTTTTTAGCGTGGAAAGAATGTAATAAAAATACTTTTTTAAATTTATTTATATATTTATTATTTTTTAATAAGGTTTAAAAGCTCTTCTCTTTAAATTTTAATTCCAGAAAAACAAAGGCGGGGAGTTGTTGTAACTCGTCAAAATTTCAAACTTCAGATTACATTTCAACATCCTCAAAGAAGGTAGCGTAATATTTTTAAATAAAAAAAATTACTTAATAATAATAATAAAAACTGTAAAACTATCATACAAATTTAGGGAAAATATTCTGCACTGGTTACATAGAATTATGGCGTTAGAAATATCTTAATTAATTGAAACGAAAGCGGCAATATTTGTTAAAATTAATTATTTGTTGGATATTTGCCTTAGTTCGAATTATAAAGAAAGAACTTTTCAGAATGACAGCATTTGGGAATGTGACATAAATGACTGTGTGGGGAAGACAAAAAAGGACTACTACATTTTTTACAAATGATAAAATGTGCGAAGTGCTGCATCTAGATTGTTTTTTTGCTTTTTTCCTCCACTGTGTTTAAGTTTTTTTTTTCGGGGGGGGGCAAGTGTATGTTAATATATGTCTAGAGCAAACGACACATCTTCTTCTATGAAGTTAAAAAACATACGAGCGAGACAGATTTCGTTTTTAACGTAAATTTGTTAAACGCAGCTGCATCAGCAATTTTTTTATTTCTTTACTATCAACTCATACTAATTTTTTGGTAAAAGGATTGCTTTCAGATACCTGTAAAATAATTTTCTCCACAGTACTTATAAAATTTTTATCTAAAAATTAGTTGAAAATATAAATGTAATTAATTACATTCAAAGAACGAAAAAGGAAGCAATGGAATATAGTGTAATTAACTTATAAGGTATTTCTCCCGCCTTCCTAACGTGCCTTCGTGGTGTAGTGGGTTTGCACCCTGACCGGAATCCATAGGTCCGTGGTTCGATTCCCGGCGAAGGCGGTTGCTAATTTTTCAATTCTCCTGCTTCCAAAAGTCCTAATGTCTGTACAGTGGCGCCCGAACTAAAAGAGTTGAGGATGATGACCCTCCACACCCAGGATTTGGCGATTGGGTCCCCTAAAAACCCCAGTCGCCCTTTAAGTGGGGCAGTATATAAAGTATTTCTCCCGCTTTCCTAGCGTGCCTTCGGTGTAGTGGTTCTGCACGCTGGACCGGTATTCCAGAGGTCCGTGGTTCGATTCCCGGCGAAGGCGATTGCTCATTTTTCATCTTGCCCGCTTCCAAAAAATTCCTAATGTCTCTACAAACTTTTAGAAAGATATGCAGCAATTTTTCCAAATTTCTTTGCAATTGCCAAATGTATTTGCGTTAAAATTATCATTATTATTAAAAGAAGCATGCAAAATTTTACACGTAATACACTCCATATAATTAATGAACAGACTGTGATTTCAAATTTGTAAATTATTTTTCATGCTTCTATTCTGGTGATTCGGTTTTAGAAAGAAGTAAATCCTTAATAAAGTGTAATGCCCAAATTCAGTCTAAATTTCCCACATACATCTTTGATCTATTATATGAAAATACATCATCGAATTTGAAAAAGAGATCTCTAAGTCTGAAGAAATTATTTCAAATAAAGGTACAACTTTACCTATAAACATTGTTACGTATTTTGTATTCAGTTTGCTATTTTTAATAGAATTTAACTGCGGCACCGAAGGGCCCGAATTCGTATCCCGGAGAAGGCATGGATGTTTATAAATGTATCGAGCCTTTGCGATTTGCGTACACTCTAAATATATGGCAAACCGAAAGTTCTCTTGTGTGGATTGGTGGTAGGGAAGAGGGGAGACCCTCAGATCATCCCCTGAGGTGCTGTTCCTCAAAATTAGGGTGGAAATAGAAGTTTAACCTCCGTGAGGCTCTGGCAAACATTCTTCCATGAAATTCATGGGCAAGACAACAATAGCAAAAAAATGAAGTGTATTTATTGCATATCTTGCAACAATGGTACAGGTTTGATTTAATAATTTAAAGGGAAAGGTAAATGTGTTCTGCTGCGTCAGCGATTTGTGAGATTTCAAGTATTACGTAAAAAGCTTTGGAAAATGATGCATCACAAAACTCGAAACGTACATTGAATTCGAAATACATAGTAGTGTTTCTTTCAAGTGATAGAGTCAAATGTATGGATAGTGCTTACTTAGAAGAAAAACAGATATCTTACTATCCAGAATTTCAGATTCTATCTCAATTAAAATAAGGATCACTAGCAAAGAAAGGCCGATTTCACATCGTAAGTAATTTCTATGTTTATCCATTTCTTTTTACATGACTAGTACCTATTTATTTAAATCAGTATAGTATTGATTTTAGAGATTGCCTTTTGATTCAATTTGTAAAGTTTCTTTATGTTAAACAACTTTTTATTTTGCGTTTTAAATCTTTACTCTCTTTTCTCTCTTCCGTTTTCCAGCCAAAATGCAAATTTAATTTGCGTGCATTTAAGGTAAGGTTTTTAAAACTGTAAGGGTCCTATCACTTCTATGGACGCGCGCGCTTACCCGGGACAATTCCGAGAAACAAGATTCTAGTAGCACGGCTTTAAGCGGCAGGCTTCCGAGAAATGTTTCGTCTAGCTAGGATGAACCTGTCCCGGCTACGAGCAACATTTTAAAATTTGTCCGAAAATGTTGCGGCTGGAGACGTGTTCCTCGAACGTTCAACCAATCAGACGAAAGTTCTGCTTCTGAAGGATCACGGGTAACTTTCAATATAGCGTTGGCTCTCACTGTGAAGTGATGGACGGTGGAAATAGAGGCCGATTTAATTATTGCTGTTTTGTTGCAATACAACTGCCTGAGTCATTTTTTAAATGTGTATATATTCATTAAATATGTAATCTTGGAAATTTCAGAGTTGACAGTATTTTACGACGTTCTTGCAGTTCGGATTTGTTTACAAATTGTTCGTCGCCAAAAGTTCGCCAAATTTGTCGTATTTCGTGCTGATCGTGTATTATCACTGTTATATAATAGAATTTTATTTCTTAAATTTAAGTTGAATAATTTTTTTAAATCCGTTTGTATATGCGCGTGTTTATCTGTTACTTGAAGTGCCAGAGTGGAGATCAAAGTGATTATCTTGATAGCAATCACCTTTCTATTATCTTCCATGGCTAACAATAAAGTTTAAAACGAAAAGAGTGTGAGCGATACAAAACAACACGGAAAAAGCAAACGTCACTTCAAAGAAAACGTCACTTTCGCCAATCTGAGCGATAACTGATTCTTGTTTGGCTTTCAGCCTGTTTACCAAGTGAAGATGGTAACCATATTTCGCCAAAGGCCGTTTCTCAGAACTGTTGCTGCAACGTTTTGTTCCGGCAACAAATATCGTATGTGATAAGGGTTTAAGACAGAGCATGTTCTTCTCTCGAGGCCACTTTTCTATGTTGCTAGATTAGATAAGAATTGTAGTCTTCGGCCTTACATTCTAATTACCGATAGTGAATATCCACACCGGTT